CTCAGCGTGGAGTCCGTTTGTCATGGGCCATTCTGTTCAGTGGAAAGACCCGCCTACGGAAAAGCTACCCCATCCAGGGGACTTTGTGAGTGTGACTAATCCCAGGATATGAAGGGAAGACAGACTGGTGATGGACCTGACAGGCAAGCACAGGGCGGGAGGCGGGGGGTCTGCTAGCATGATCGCTCAGGAAGGCACCTCTCACTGTAGGCACACCTGGCGGAGGAAGCATGTCACTGGGGGGAGCAGAGAATTCCAGAGTGTGTGTGTGTGTGTGTGTGTGTGTGTGAAAGAGAACTCCTGTCTCCATAAAATAACTCATCTCAAGGTTTCTTTAAATAATTAGTTCACTAGTGGCATGCAGTTGAGATTAGGACTAACGTGTAAGAATTTGATTTACACATCGGCTGAATACAAGTACATTTGCAGTATGCACAGCCTTGGAAAAATGCAAAGAAATATGAAACTGTGAATTAGAATATTGTGGGATGCACTATACCCATGGAGGGAGGTGAATGCTCAAGTGTGTGTTTATGTAAATAAAAATGTTCACTGTGTTCTGAGTCCTTAAGGGCCCAGGAAGCAAGCTTATTAGAAATTAAGGAACCAGCCATGGCCAGTGTGGCTCAGTTGGCTGGACGTGGTCCCTTGCCCTGGAAGGTTGCTGGTTTCATTTGGGGTCAAGGCACATGCCTGTGTTGGGGGCTCCATACCCAGTAGGGGGCGTGCATGAGGCAGCCAATCAATGTTTCTCTCTCTCTCTCCCTCTCATTTCCTCTCTCTTAAATCAATAAAAACATATTCTTAAAGAAAAAAAAAGAAGAAGAAGAAACCATGGGAAAGGAGCCCAATAGGAACAGTAGTGGGTGATTTTAAGCACAAGGATGGTGGCATAATTACAGATAAGGGAATTCATTTGGTGACTGTGTTCATGGGACCTGTTTACTGGTTTCCTTGTTGCGCATATGTTTTCTTTTCAGGCAACACAGAGTCTCTAAGCACCTCTTGAGCCTCCAGCATGTGCCGGTATACTGCTGCGTGCCAGGGAATCAGATCAAAAAGTGACAGTTCCCACCTCAGGGAGATCACAGTCGAGGAGGGAGACTTAGGTGTCAACGTGCAGCTGTAATTATTTTACCTCTTTGATAGATGAGGAGAATGACACCCAGAAATTCAGATCTGTACCTTTTACATTGCTTAGGCCGTACCCTAACTGCCTTTGGGATGCCTCAGAATTTGGACCATTAGCTCCAGGTCCCTTATGTCCCTGGGTTCTCACCAAGGAGCAATTATTACCCTGCTCTGCCTGCACTTGGTGAGAAGCATTAGCCTGCCTGCTTGGTCCCTGAGAAGAGGGGGTGCATACTAATAGATTATATAAAATGGAAAATTTAAAGTTAGATTTCCTAGAATAATCAACAACTCTCTTAATCTAAGACTAATCTAAATATGTAATTGCTACACCTGTATACATTTATGAAAACTGTCTAATGACAGGAATTTTCCTGCTCCTTGTACATTCATCTTGCCATCTCTTAGGGAAAAGAGATGATTCTGAAAGAGAATTTCCCAGGTGAACAAGGAGTTTCTCAGGAAACGGAGCCCATCCCTTAAGCCTGCCAGGAAGTGTTAGCTTTTTCCAAGGAACTTGATTGTGGGAAAATTCTAATGCACACACATGTGTTTGTCTTTCCCCAAGCAGATTTCCAGCACAAGTTCACGGTGCAGGCTTCCCCCACCATGGATAAAAGGAAGAGTCTCATCAACAGCCGCTCCAGCCCTCCCGCAAGCCCTACCATCATTCCTCGCCTTCGAGCCATCCAGTGTGAGACTGTTTCCCAAATTAGTTGGGGCCATAACACACTAAGGTCACCTGTCCCCTACTCTGTCCAGCCACTGACTGGCCCAGACTTGCACCATCCATAGCTTCTGCCACCTTTCCTTGATAATCTGTATGTACATGCACATATGTATGCAAACCTTAACCCTCCCCCTTGTCTCCCTCCATTAGCTTTACTGCTGCCTCCTCTACCTCTTACTCATAGTCAGATAACAGCAAGGGGGGCGTGGGGGTATTGTGGGCACAAAGCAATTTGGAAACTGGTGTGTGATGTAGATACACATTGGTACTGTGGCCTGGGCCCCTTGTGCGCTCTGCCATATTTGGGGCATCACTGTTTTTCTTTTGTTCGTGCTTCTCAGGGAAGGGTGTTTTCAAAGTGTAGGTCCTAAGAAAACTTGCCAAGTATTTTATGATGGGCCAAATCTGGACCAATCTTATTTTTACTGTAGTGTTTATTAAAAAGAATTTATACATACACAAACATACATGTATACACATGTGAGTGTATAAATATGAATGAATTAGTTTCCCTGATTTTTTTTTTTAAATATATCTTTATTGATTTCAGAGAGAGGAAAGGAGAGGGAGAGAGAGAGACAGAAACATCAATGATGAGAGAGTCATTGATCAAGCCCACAACCCGGGCATGTGCCCTGACCGGGAATCGAACCCCAGTCGCCTGGATCCTAGGTCAATGCTCAACCGCTGAGCCACGCCCGGCCGGGCAGTTTCCCTGATTTAAAGATAGAGAGATTTTGCCCGGCTGGCGTGGCTGTGGTTGAGCGTCGACCTATGAACCAGGAGGTCACATGCCCAGGTTGCAGTCTCCATTCCCAGCCAATCAATGATTCTCATCACTGATGTTCCTGTCTCTTCCTCTCCCTTCCTCTCTCTAAAATCAATAAAAGCATATTTAAAAAATAAGTAAGTAAAATGCTTAAAGATAGAGAGATTTCATCAAAAAATCCTGGATTTCTGGCTTTCCTTGAAAAATCAAATCAGTGAATTCCCTTTTGCATGTGGCCAGTGGTCTGAAACTCACAGCAGCTTCCACATGCTCCAGATTTTGCCTCGACTCCCTCAGCTCCTTATTTTTTGGTAACTGGCTCACTTCACTCATTTATGGTATAAGCCAAGTCTCTGAAGCACTTGGGTTTTAGCCCGTGCTCTACGGTACCAATTTCAGAAGAATGTTCTTCTCCTCTTATCTCTTATGTTTCTCTAGGCCTATTCCTTCCCCCATTCTCCTCCTCCTGACTTGCTTTTTTATAGTCTTAAAACCCTCATTTGCTTCCTTTCTGACATTTTTCTTGCACCATTTTCTTCCAAAATTTCTTCACTTCCCCGCCTTCCTTACCCCTTATTTTTTCTCTCTCCCACCTATCTCCTCACCCACCCACCCCACAATCCGCTTCCACCCAACAAAACAAATTCCTTACGTCACATCTGTTCGGATGCTGAGGCCTTGCTGGCCTGAGCTCCAGCTTTACGCTGGGTTCGTCAGCAGCTGGGAGGTGTTTCCATGTGTGGTGCTTGGAGAATGCTGAGTGATTGGTGGCCGAGAACTCCACTACTTTCCTGGAAGGCTCTGCTCGGGCAGAGTGTGTGAAGAAGTCTGACTTCTTCTTGTGTGTGTGTGTATCAGGTTGGGTAGAGACTAGTTTGTGGGGGAGGGGAGAGCCCTGTATCTGTCTCCAGATCCCATCCCACCTTTGTTATTCACAGTGACACCAGGTGAAAGCAGCAAAACCTGGGGCCGGAGCTCAGTCATCCCAAAGGAGGAAGGAGAGGAGGAGGAGAAGAGGGCTTCCAAGAAGAAGGGACGGACCTGGGGGCCAGGCACACTTGGTCAGAAGGAGCTCTCCTCAGGAGATGAAGGGTAAGAGCCAGATGATGGGAAATTCTCGTTTAAAAGACGGGCACCCTTTTAACAGTGTGGTGTGGAATACCTTTCTTTCTGTTGTGTGTGTCACTCCTATCTGAGACATTATAAGCTTCTTGATCCTTACAACAGAGTTTCCCAACCTCCTTTCCCCCTGGAACCTCCTAGGACAGGGGTCAGCATACTTTTTCCATAAGGGCCAGATCATAAATATTTTAGGCTTTTTGGGCCGTGTGGTTTCTGTGGCAACTGCTCAGCTTCACTGTGGTAGTTCAGATGCAGCCACAGACCATGGATGAGACATAAGTGGAACACAGGCAGTGGGCAGGAGGTAGCCCATGAGTTACAGTTTACCAACCCCTGGAGGTGACCTACTTAGAGTAGCAAGCACCCTGAGCATGAATGAACCAGATGTACAGAGTTCTGCCTGAGTATTGTACTTATACCAGACTCTTCCGCTAAAACATCTGCTCAGAGGAAAGAGAAGGAGAGCGGATTAGGGGATTCTCTCGACTGGAGGCTCATCCAGAAGCTGGGGCAGGCAGAATAATCCAGCCCTGGTAGATCAGTTAGATAGAACTCCAGCACCCTAGAATTTCTTTGAGGCCTCACCCTGTAGCCACACTGACAGTGTGAGTGCCCTTTCTGGACGAAACACAAAGCACTTCTTGGTGCCTTACGTGTGCTTGTGTTTGCTCTGTGGGCTTGTGGCCTAGGACTCAAATTCCCCAAGTCCCTGTCCCTCTGAGGCCCGTCACTTGTAGTATAGTAGTGAAGAGCTTGGATGCTGACCCCGAGCTGCCTGGGTTCGAATCCTGGCTCCACCATGCCCAGCTGTGGGACCTTAGGGTTTCTTAGCTATAAAATGGGGGTTATATCCATATCCATCTCGTGCAGTTGATGGAGGAGTAAATAAGTTCACCTTTGTGAAGTGCCAGAGAGGATTAGCTGGCTCATCATGAGTATGTGTAAATATTTGTTCTGCTTCTTCCATGCTTCTAATGCAGTTCTGTTTCATACCTGAGGAACAACCATCATGGTTTATACTTCTTCTTGGTGTTAGAATCTAGAACCGTGTGTTCTTACTTTTCCTGTGAGTATAAGCAGCAACCTGCCTCACGCTTTCTGGTGGCTTCCGGAAGAGCTCCTAAGGTTGACTAGTAGGTTTACAGGTGCCCTGAACCTATAATTGGGCTTGGTATTCCTCTGAACACTAAGATTTCATGTCCAAAATCTGGTTCCCTATGTCACATCTGAGCTGAAGGTGAAAATTACAGTTTGGTTCATAAAGGATTGACTATTGGCAGCCAGGCATTGGAGATCAGTGGCTGCCTTGGAATAGAAAATTTAGGTATGTAGGGCAAACTGCCTAAGCTCTGTAAGAATTCAGTGATTGAACCCCCTGGGGATGGCAAATTACTCTGCTGTACTAAGTCCCACAGGAGCAAGAGCTCCTCCATCTGTCCTCTTATCCCTAGGCTAGAGTAAGGTTGAGCCAGGGCCAAGAGGACACTCAGTCACCCTGGATCCCATGATATTTCTAATATTAATGTGATTACAGATAGAACTTAGCAGGTTGGCTAAGGATCCCAATAGTTTCTGTGGTTCCTCTTCATTTAAAGATTTTTTTTGTCTTGCTAGTAAATTAAGTTTATTTTGCATTATAAAATATTACCTTTTTCTTCCTTCTTACATAAATTTGCCCTCAAAACTTTGTTTTTTTAAGATTTTTTTTTCAATCCTCATCCGAGGATATCTTTATTGATTTTAGAGAGTGAGGAGGGAGAGGTAGGTAGGTAGGTAGGTAGGTAGGTAGGTAGATATATATATAGATGATAGATGATAGATAGATGATAGATAGATAGATAGATAGATAGATAGATAGATAGATAGATAGATAGATAGATAGATATAGATAGATGATAGATAGATAGATAGATAGATAGATAGATAGATAGATAGATAGATAGATAGATAGATAGATGATAGATAGATAAACATTGATGTGAGAGAGAAACATCGATCAGTTGCCTCCTGTATATACCCTGACCTGGGATCAAACCCGCAACCTAGGTATGTGCCCTGACCAGAAATCAAACTCACAACCTTTTTGGTGTATGGTATGACACTCCAATCAACTGAGCCACCCAGCCAGGGCAAGATTTTTTTTTTTAGTATTTTAAAAAATTTATTGATATGAGAGAGAGAAATATCCATTTGTTGTTTCACTTATTTATGCATTCATTGGTTGATTTTTGTACATGCCCCGATCAAGAATTAAACATACAACCTTGGGATATAAGGACCACGCTCTAACCAACTGAGCTACCGTGCTAAGGCTGCCCTCAAAACTTTTGAAGCAGTTCAAAATATTTGCCTTCATTTTTCATGCTTCTCAATTTCTATTGAAGAAATAAAATATATTCCACCCAGTCTCGAGTAAAGGAACTCTTTAATGTCAGAAATTTTTGAGAGCCTCTATATGACAATATTTCTAAATTTGGTCCCTGTCAGCTAAAGAAAATATGTAATGACATAAAGCTATATTGAATTTAGTACTGTTAAGTGAATTTGCATCTCCATTTTTTCTTTTTAAATAGTCCACATTTGTAGGAAACACATACACTTGTCTGTAGACAGCTTGGGTATCTGAGTTCCCAGGTCCCCTGGAATTATTCTGTGGCTGCCCAAGGACTTTGTCCCAAGGACTGGGAGGTCCTGGTCTGTAGCAGCTCAAGCAGGGCCAACTTCTTAAGATTCTTTTGTTTTGTGGGCTTTGCTGACTGGACTGGGGGAGGGTGGCTGGTGACATAGCTCTAGTCCAGCCTTGAGGGGTCTCATGTTGAGGAGGCTGAGCTGGATATACCCACTGCTGCCCACTACTGATTCTCTTTATTCATTGAAGATCCCCTCAGAGACGTGAGAAAGTTAATGGTTTAAGTACCCCATCAGAATCTCCACATTTCCACTTGGGGTGAGTCTGATCTTCACCCTTTCAGATGTAGTGGCAAGAATTCCCCTTCCATTTCCCTGTTCTCACAGCGCACCTCATAGAATCCATCCTCATTATTGCCAAGCTGCGCTGACCTTTTTTTTCTTTAAAGCAGTACCATCGTGCACCTTGGGGACATTCCTGTGCTGGCCTGACTCTACCTTGTTCTTCACTCTCCTGACCACTCCTGTTGTTGGGGTCCTCCCAGTACCCTTATTTTTAGGGAAACAGTGCTCTTTGTCCTTTGGTTTGCAGCACTGGTTCTGACTTGGCTAATCTCAATTTCCTTGGACCCAGAGCCAGAGGCAGTGTTATAAGACTGTCAGGTAGAAGTCCTAGGCTATGGATTTAGCTTATCTCTGGCTGTGTATTTTGTTTCCCACCACTGGTGGCTGTAACGTATTTTAATTCATTGATATTTGGGATAGCACTTGAAACAGAGATCTGAAGTAAAACAAAAGTTGGTCCCTCTCTCTCCCTCAAGATAAGTTGGGGAAGAGTGGGCTTTAGTTAATGGCTCATTCTAGCCCTAAAATGAGAGCCACCCCTGGTTATAATCCTGCTATCTCTAAGGCAACCGTAGCATAGATTCCCATCCTTTCTCTCATTGTCCTCAAGCGAAAAGACCAGTGCTTTCGGGCCCCTGATCCCCCAGCCTATAAGGGGGTTGGTGAGCTTCCCAGGCTATGCCTGGAGTTACCAGCCTGCTAGTGTGAGCTGATTACATGGATCCGAGAGCAAGCTCCTGTCCTTTTGCTCTCCAGTCCCAGACAAACTGAGGGCTCGAGTACAGCATTATGTCCTCCCCCACATAGGTCTGTCCCAAAGTGCACTGGGTTGATGCAGCTTTGTCGGTTGATTTTTGTTTTTGAAAAGTGAATGGCTTTAAAAGTTGCCAACGCCTGGGGAGGGGGATGGGACGGGGTGGAACGGGTCATTGGGGAGAAAAAGGGGACATCTGTAATATTTTAAACAAAAATAAAATTAAAAAAAAGAAGTTGCCAAAGCATGCCATAAGCTTGGAAGGAGAAGTGGAGAAATGATGTGAGTGAAGCGATCTGGCCCATCTCTGCTAGCTCATCTGCCCAGGGCTTGGCTGGCACTGCAAGTCTTTGCATTGCGGTGTTTCTGATGTCACCACTGTGTTGTATTCAGTGTCTGTGGATTGATGACCTCTCCTTTAAGATGGGCTCAGGCAACACCCTGGCCGACGCTGGGCAGTCCTTATTCCTTCTGTCCTGTCTCCGGCCTGCCCATCAGATCCTTCCTCAGCCCATAGCAGCATGTGAAGGGGGCGGGTCATGCCATTGCTTTCTTTCCCTAGAGCATGCGCACTTTTGTTAATGAAGCAGGTGGGCTCAGTAAGGTTTGTTGCCTGTTCCCCAAGGCTCTTGGGCTTTGGTGTAATTGAGGGAGACACATTTCCACAGGCCCATGGAGCTGAGGGTGGAGTAAGGAAGTAACCAGTATTAACAATTTCCTCATCTCCCCTTATTCAGCCTCAAGTCCCTGGTAGATGGATACAAACAATGGTCGTCCAGTGCCCCCAACCTGGGGAAGGGCCCGAGGAGTAGCCCGGCCCTGCCAGGGTTCACCAGCCTTACAGAGATGGGTAAGCATTGCCCTAGTCTTGGCTCTCTTCCTGTTCCCTCAGGGGTTTCTTGGTCAAGCTTCTAGGACTGTTTAGGGCCTTCAGTATTACTTCATGAGGGTTATCTCCTTTCACTCAAGTCCTGGTCCCCCACCCTGTTCCCTCTTAGTTGGCCCTGTTCCCATTTCATTGAATCTTCCCAAATCACTACTGCTGCCATGGAGCCTGCCCTTTGCTTTCCTGTCCCAAGGGGCCAGTTACAGCCTCCTTAGGGTGAGTCCTTGAATCCGCCATTTCCCTTTTCTGGGTCTGTTTCCTGGTATTTCAGTAAAGGGCCTCCATACAACAAGAGATGGTGGTAGCGGATGCCACAGTCTGCCTCTTAAGGAAGCTTTGCAATGTTGCCCTGATCACTGAACGGGTAAGGTCTTCTCCAGGCACTGCCAGATAGTCCTCTTATTTATCTGGAGATTTCCGAGGTTGTGGTAGGTGAGTCTATAGAGTAGATTGGCTTTACGCATGTAAGAGATACTGATCCTTTGCAGAAGTCTGGTCTTAAGACAAATCTCTAGGCTATCATTCTAGAAATCTGAGGTTCCTGGCAATTCCAAGGTGCAAAAAAATTAGGGATGTTTCTGTTCTATCCAGTGTTCTAGGAAACTTGCTGCACTTCTTGCATTGAGGGTCCCTATGAAAGAAATAAATTAGCAATCCGCTTCTGCAGATAGGGAAATGAGCTGTGGAGTGGACAGTGGCTTCTCGTTGGTCACAGTTGAATGTGGAGGGGTAAAGCCCTGTTTGCTTACTGCCTAGTCCCTTGTCCTGCCTGTCAGACTGTTTGGCCTCTGCATCCCTGACACGAAGGCAGGAGGCCTGGGTTGGGGAGAGGGACCAGATCCTCTTGCTGCTGCATTCCTGTTTTCTATTTCCCGCCCACTCCTCTCATCTTTGCAGAAGATGAAGATAGCGAAGGCCCAGCGAGTGGGGAGAGTCGTCTCCAGCAGTCACCCAGCCAGTCCTACCTCTGTATCCCATTCCCTCGTGGAGAGGATGGGGATGGCCCCTCCAGTGACGGAGCCCACGAGGAGCCCACCCCAGTCAACTCAGCCACCAGTACCCCTCAGCTGACGCCAACCAACAGCCTCAAGCGGGGCGGCACCCACCACCGCCGCTGCGAGGTGGCTCTGCTTGGCTGTGGGGCTGTTCTCGCAGCCACAGGCCTAGGGTTTGACCTGCTGGAAGCTGGCAAGTGCCAGCTGCCTCTCCCGGAGGAGCCTGAGCCACCAGCTCGGGAGGAGAAGAAGAGGCGGGAGGGTCTATTCCAGAGGGCAGGTCGCCCTCGTCGCAGCACCAGCCCCCCGTCCCGAAAGCTCTTCAAGAAGGAAGATCCCATGCTGCTGCTGGGAGACCCCTCTGCCTCCCTGACACTGCTGTCCCTCTCCTCCATCTCCGAGTGCAACTCCACCCGCTCCCTGCTGCGTTCAGACAGCGATGAGATTGTGGTATATGAGATGCCTGTTAGCCCTGTGGAGGCCCCTCCGCTAACCCCCTGCACCCACAACCCCTTGGTCAACATCCGAGTGGAGCGCTTCAAACGAGACCCTAACCAATCTCTGACTCCCACCCACGTCACCCTTACGGCCCCCACGCAGCCCAGTGGTCACCGGCGGACTCCTTCTGATGGGGCCCTCAAGCCAGCGGCTCTCCTAGGCAGCCGGAGCTCCTCTAGCAATGGCTTGAGCCCCAGCCCTGGAGCAGGTGAGTCCTGCCCTCTTTTCTCTCTCCTGCCTTTGTGCCTCCCCCAGGAGTAGAGATGTTGGAGTGAACTCCATTCCTCCTCTGACTCAGCCAATCCAGACAGGTTGTTCTGGGGTGGAGGAGGTGGCCGACTTCTCTCTGTCCTGTGCCTCAGGGGATCTTCCCTGAGGAACAAAAGAAGACAGGCAGGTTCTAGGAAGGATCAGAGCCGGAACTCCTCTGGATGTTTGGGTCCTGGGTCCGAGAGTGCGCAGGGCAGTGATTCTGAACCTGGATGTGGAGGGCCAGCATCAGGGTACAGGAAGGGTGGGGGTCCAGTTCTGCTTGTTCCCTGCAGGGGAGACTGAAGTCACCGGAAGGAATCCTGCCCTGAACTAGGAGAGGTGTTTTTTGCCACATAGCTATGCTCTTGCCTCTCATTAAGGCATTAGTACAGACACACTCACAAGGCAAGCTTCCGCCCAGCCTCACGCCTCCACCGCTCACCCCTTACTCATGCCTGACTTTTCGTAAAGTGGAGGTGTGTCCAGGTAAATTGCTGTGCCTGTGCATATGCCTGCCTTCTCCATCTGACCCCTGTGACCCCTGGGCATGACTATGCCCATCCCAGGTCTTTCCTGCCACTGTCCCCTCTTCCTTAGAAGACCTGGATTTGACTTGGAAACTGCCCCTAATCCAGCAGGAGAGGGGATGCTATACCCTTTCAACAGGATTTGCCTGTAAATGATCATTGCATTTGACTGTTCAGCTATCTCTCCCCTCTTTACATTTTTTTGTTAAGCACAAATATGTGGCCTTTTTGGAGATAGAGACCCCTGTATTACTTTTCTTTTTTAGATTTCTGATACCTAGCTTTGTTCCCATCACGTGTTCATTAATGGATGGACTGTGAATGAACAGACATTTCCTTTCATCATGGGTCAGCACACAATTTTGGTAAAGGGCCAGATAGTAAATATTTTAGGCTTTGTGGGTCAAACGGTTTCTGTTGTAACTGCTCAACTCTGCTGCTCTACTGGGAAAGCAGGCAGTAGGTGTGGTTGTGATCCAATAAAACTTTTTATTTTCAAACACAGGTGGCTGGCCTGTGAGTTGTAGTTTGCCGACATCTGCCTTAAGTAATCTTATTACAGATGTAATCCTCATATGTCCCATTATTATTGTCAGATATAGTGACCATGGCCTTCTAGTTCACTACTTCCAGTCTCCTGACACACTGCATGGCACAGAGTAGATGCTCATTAAATACTTGTTCATGTTATTCCCAGTGAGGAGGGCTATGGCAAGGTGGGGTGGAGCAGAGTATACCTGGCCCAGAAACAAAGTGCCCTCGTCTGATGCCTCTCCCTTTGTCTTTTTGACCAGGAATGTTGAAAACCCCCAGCCCCAGCCGAGACCCAGGTGAATTCCCCCGTCTCCCTGACCCCAATGTAGTCTTTCCCCCAACCCCAAGGCGCTGGAACACACAGCAGGACTCTACCTTGGAGAGACCCAAGACCCTGGAGTTTCTGCCTCGGCCACGTCCTTCTGCCAACCGGCAACGGCTGGACCCTTGGTGGTTTGTGTCCCCCAGCCATGCCCGTAGCGCCTCCCCGGCCAACAGCTCCAGCACAGAGACACCCAGCAACCTGGACTCCTGCTTTGCTAGCAGCAGCAGCACTGTGGAGGAGCGGCCTGGACTTCCAGCCCTGCTCCCATTCCAGGAGGGGGCGCTGCCCCCCGCCGAGCGGACGCTTCTGGACCTGGATGCAGAGGGCCAGAGTCAGGACAGCACTGTGCCACTGTGTAGAGCTGAACTGAACACACACAGGCCTGCCCCTTATGAGATCCAGCAAGAATTCTGGTCTTAGCATGAAAAGGGTCAGGGGTGGGCAAGGGGGAAGCAAGAGGAGATGGGGAGCTGGCTGGCACAGCCCGTCCTCAGAGTTGGACCCCCTGAGATCCAGTCCTACTTCTTGCACTGATAATGCACTTTGAAGATGGAAGGGGTGGGAGCAGAGCCACTTCAGAGGGTCTCTGGCCCTGCAGGGCCTTTTACCCATGTCCACTGGAGGGGCTGTGGCTATCAGCTCTGGCTGTGTAGGGGAGGAGGGGTGCGTGCATGTCCCCCACCCCCCACAGTCTTCCTTGCCTTTAGGGTGACCCTGCAGCGTCACTCAGCCAAATCTGTCTGCTGCTCCCCCTCCTCAGCTGCCTGGGGTCCCTCTGTTAGCCGAGTTCAGCACCCCAAACGGTGTTCTGTGATTGGCTTTGTCCCTCTTCCACAATCTTCCCCAACACCCGTGAGTCAGAATCTTGTTTGATGTGAGAGATGAGCTTTTTGTGCCCTAAGCCCTTTCATGCCAGCTGGAGGACTGAGGCAAGGTGCCCCAGGGCGGGGCAGGGGAGTCCATGGGCCTGGCACTACCTTCCTGCACTTCCAGGTCCCCCACTTGTTTATTTGAGCCCACCAGTGGTAGGGGGAGCTGCCTCGGTGAGAATTGGGGAGGGGAGGAAGTGAGGAAGAATACAGCCCAGGTGCGGTAAAGAGGGTAAGAGTCTGTCTGTCCTTGTTCCCTTTGGGAAAACTCAAAGAAGGGACGAGACCAGCTCCTGTTGACAGCACCCATCTCCCACCTGGGGCCAGACGTGGTTAGACCAGGTTCTGATACAAAATATGCTCATCCCATGATTAAATTTCTTGGGATGCCAGAGACAGGGCTCCTCAGTTTCTCCCTTTTGTTGTCTGACCTTTATGTGTTATTCCCTTCCCCTGAGCTTTCCTCCAGCCCCTGGAAATAGTGGACTTTGGGTTACATATTTGGCTGGTAGATATCTCTGCCTTGCACTGGAATAGCATATGGGGTTGGGGTGGGGTGTCCAGGACATGGAGTGGGAACTGGGCAAGGGTGTTCCTTCCCAGCCAGACTGTCCATTCTGTGATGCCCTTGAAGCAAAAGGGAGCCATTAGTAGTATGTCCTATAAGTGGACGTAGTAAGGCGACGACTGTCGGCTGCTGAGTGAGCCTCTGACACACTGTAACCTCTAAGTCCCAAGCACTGGAGACTCACCAAGGCCTCTTGTTTCTGTGCACAGATGGCCCCTAGCGCTGGGCTCTGGACCCCGAGCTAGGGAGGAATAACAATAGTGGCCAGCCCTGACTTTTCTGGAATTTGTTTCCTTGACTTGAATGTTGAACTTCTTCTGGAGCTTTCTCGTGGCCATCTTCACTGTTCCACTGGCTCTGAGGCCTCCTGTGTCAGTGCACATAGTTGTCTGTGTGGGAGCGACAGCTTGATTGGGAGTAGAGTCCTTAGGTCCTGCTCTGCCCTTCGAGGCGCTAAGCGGGGCTCCACTGTCTTTTGTCCTGAATATTCCTCTGGGGACGCTGGAGGCCAGCCTGCAGGTTCCTTGCTCTCACTGCCTGAATGCCAGAAACGGGGAGAGCGGTAAAGCAGGTCCAAGTGATAAATACAGTCACTGCTCTCTCTCTGCAACTGTGACACACATCCTGCCTTGGGGTGGCAAAGGGGGTGACTTTGGTTTTCAAATCGTCCCTTGTTTTATGAGCCTGCTGGACCTTTGGCTCAAGGGCCCCACCTAGTCTTTGGCGGGGAGGCACTATTGGTTTTGTGGCCCAGGGTTTTGTTATTGCATCTCATCCTGTATTTGCCTTTGTTCAGTGAAGCCAACATGTAAGAAATTATTTTTGCCCCAATTCCCCACCCCTCAGCTAGGAGGGGTAAAATGTGAATCCTGCCAGCAGTTCCAGCCAGCCAAGTGACTCCTTCATTCTCGGTGGGGAGAGGGACATAAGTGGTCTGTTCTGTGCCCTTCCCTGGGCTCTGCATATCCCCACTGTCTAAGCCAGTAACACATCTGTCAACCACTAACGTATCTGTAAGCCACTAAACGGCTCTCTGGTGGGGTGCAGCCTGCAGCGTACCCCAAACCATGCAGACTCTGGGCAGTGCTCTGTGGTATGAGGCAGGGAGTTTTCCTTTGCTTGTTTTCTACCTTTTGCAGTTTTGTTAGGTTGTAGCTGTCTTTCCTGGAAGTGTAACTGATGTAGCATAAACTGAAAGATGACCACTTGCCACTGAGTGACAGGTTGAACCCAGTTCTCACTCCTCCATCCAAGGGGAAGACCAGAAGCCTGGGCCTCTGCTAAGGGAAGAACTGCACCTGCCAGAGGCAGAAGCAGGGTTGTTCTGAAAATGCTTCTGTGAGTTTCCGTGAGGATGAAGGAGTGACCATCTCTCTCTGATGGGCCCCTGCCTGCCACACTGTCTCCCTGTAGGGCAAGGCTGGGATGGGATGCAGACCCTGAATAGTAACAGGTTTGGGTTGCTTTCTGTCCACTCGGGTTCCCTTGCCTCTGTGGTCATGGCCAGTATCAGGCCTTGAGCCTGGGGATCAGCCCCCCACAGCGGCAGTAGTGGTCTCCTTTTTCCCTTCCCTCTTTCCTCCCTTGCTCCTGGCAGGTGCTCAGTACATGGGAGATGGTGGCAGGAAACAGATCCTGTGCTCTGCCCCTTCTCGGACCTGTGGGCTCCTTCCACTGATGCTAAATAGGATGATTCTTCGTTCGCCTCCTTGGGCATCCAGGCCACTGCCAGGGCTGAGTAGATGTCCCAGGTACCCTCGGAGAGGCTTTGGGGGATGCTCTTAACTTCACACCCTTTAGTACCTTGCGGGCCTGGTAGCGATGACGCCCATGCTATCTTGTATTTGCATGACTCGGGATAATGCTAACCTTTCCTCCTGACCTTTACAGAATTACATCATTTTCCTTCTACATTTGATATCCTTGCTGGTAGAGGAGGGGAAATGCTTAAAGACAAAGATTCAAGTGAAGAGATATTAAAAAGCTGCTTGGCTTGATTGCCCAGTCGGCACCAGGCTCTGAGACCTGAACAGGTTGGCTCAGTTCCCCATTCTGCTTTTGCCATCTGACCTCGGGCTTGTCTCTTTGCCCCTCTCAATTTCCTTCCTGTAAAAGCTGCCGTCACTGGCCTCCCTCACAAGGGCAACGAGAGTAAGTTCCAGCAGGTCAGTGAGGCATGCGGGGCTAGGATGAGGGGCTGAGCTTCACAGTGTGGTTCCCACCCCTTCTGCTGCTAGGGGCCTTGTCTGCTGTTTCCTCCTTTGTCTTCTGGAAGGGGAGTGACTGGGAGTTGGTATTGCATGACAAATAGGGACCATGGTCAGGCACAAGCTTTTCTGCATTTATGTAACACCTGATGTCTACAAGCATCCTTCAAATTTCCCCACTTAATGTGTCAGGCTGATCATCCCCACCCTGTGTCTTACAGAGGAGGGAGTGGCTGGAGGCACCGGAATGACAGCTTGGGGTCTCTGATTTCTTGGAGTCATTCCCAGATTCTTATTTGTTTAGAGACTGAAGTCAGGCCAATTTCTGGAAGAACCTTTGGGACAGAGTCCTCTGGCCCTTGGGACATGTGTCATGGTGTGGACTTCCTCACAAAGCCCTTTGCCCTCAGACCACGATTGCTCAGGGACACGGTGAGACGCCCCAGGGCAGCTAGGCCTGACTTCTTGTCAACACTCTTGCTCCACAGTCCCCACATTGGGGGCCCCTCCCCCCTTCCTCCCCCACAAGGAGGGAGACACCTCCTGAGCATTCCTAACTCTTCACGCTCGCCTTTAACAGAGCCCAGAGCAGCAGATACTGAAGACTGGGTGGCTGTGAATGGTGCGCTGCTTCAGGGGTGAAATGTCGGTTGGGCAGCCCCTCTAAATCCAGGACCTGACCTCCTTTAATTAAGCCTATGCCTTTGACTCGGGTGTGTGAGGCCTGAAACACTTCATTGCCTCTGGGAGGACTGAGGAAAGAAGCAGGTGCTGAGTTTTCTGTAGGACCAGGCTTTTCCTGAGGGCTGTGCCAGAGCCTGCAGACATGAGTCAGAGGTGAGAGCGGCCCATGGCCCTGCACGTGACCCATTGTGATGGGGGTTTGAAGTGGCAGCCAAAGCCATAGGGATATGGTGATCTGAGCTGCCTACTAGTGTGACCTTGCAGGTGTCTCCTGTCTGTGCACCTCTGAGCCCAACCGTGAACTGAGGGCAAAGCCCTTCTAGCTTTAAAATGTATGGTCCTAGAGCCCCCGTCCAGCACTGATTAGTCTCATCTTGCTAGATCGCTTCTCTTTGTGGAGAAAATTATGTATGAGGTGGGGAGGGGAGTGGTTATAGGGCAAACACTAGGAAGAAAAGCAATTTCTTATGGGTCAACCTACGAGACCACTGGCCCCTCTCCTTGGCTTCAGGCCTGAGGAGGATTTCACGGTAAGCTACAGTTATTGTAGCAACACATTCCCAGTTGCACCTCTCTTCCTCCAGACAAATCATTGTTTTCTTAGATCAGGAATTCAAATTAATAAAAATCCATATCAGAAAGGAAAACCCACTGCTGCTTCTGGCGGGGTTCTCAGTCCCTGGCTTTTTCCTGGCCTGGCCACCTGGGCTCTCCCCGCCTCAGGCAATGGTCTTGGAAGAAAGGAGGCAGAAGCTAGAATCCTGGCTGATTAAGGCTAATTAAGAGGGCTTAGGTGCCTAATTAACCTGACCCAGCCCTGGGCTTCTGGTCGGCTGTGCGGGCCAAGTGAGCCTCTCCTAGATTTCTCAGACTGTTGACTGAGTATTTTCCATTTGTCCCGATGAGATACTGACAGGTCCCACCCACTCCTTTGTCCATTTCCAGTCTTGGGCCCTGGAAGCACCCAGGCCTCTCTAGGCTTCTGAGGGAGCCCTGGCATTTGTCTTCCAAAGGTTGGGCTCCCTCCTTAATCTGGAGCCAGTAGGACTGGTCCTTCCTGATTCCCACTGTCTGTGGTTCCCTGCACCCCCTGCTGGAGCCTTGCTTTAGGTCTTTAGCTCACAACTGCAGCTAGAAATAGAGCATGAGCCCTGGCCAGTGTGGCTCAGTTGGTTGGAGTGTCACTGAAAGGTGGCCGGGTTTGATTCCTGGTCAGGGCGCGTACCCAGGTTGCGGGTTTGATCCCTGGGTGGGGTGCTTACAGGAGACAACCAATCAATGTTTCATATCAGTGTTTCTCTTCTCTTAAAAGAGAGAGAGAGAGAGAATGGAGAAGGGCCCAGTGCGTTACCAGAGCCAGGAGCTTCTCCACACCTCTCTTTGTTTCTCTTGGAAACAGACCCACCTTTCTCCTGACCTATCTTCCCTCCTGACTGGTCTGATCCACCCTCCCTGCAAACACCCACAGCCTAGTTTTACTATGATGGCAGACGTCGACCTGACAACCAGATAGGTGTCTCGAGACAGGACACTGGGATACAATTCCAGAGGTTCAGAGGCAGCCCTTCTCTACGAGCACAGGTGGGGCTGACATCCCAGAATTCTCAACCAACGTCAGGTCGGTTTTATGAAGGAGCGTCCTGGGGAGTGATGGCCCCGTGGATATGGTGTCACTTGTCTGCACGTACTGGAGGACAAGACCAAGTTTCAGAAGTCATATGTTGCCCACGATCCTAAACTTCACTCTCAGATACCTGCATTGACAGATCCTGACTTTACTTAAAATTCTGATAATGTGTTCAACATGGATTTTCCCCCCATTAATGTAAATTTTTTAATACTGCACTGAAATATGATTTATCTTGATAACTGAGTCTTTTTGGTGCCCCTTAAATTTTTCATGCAAGGTGAGCACCTCACTCCTGTCACCCTAACCTGGGCCCTGCCCTGCCTGCCCCTAGCCTGGGTCTGTGGGAGCTCAGGCAGAACTGTGAAGTGGCTTTTAGTTTAGTTTTGTTTGTTCTTTCTGGTCGCCCTTGCCCTCAGTCCTGAGTGAGGTGGTAGTTCTCTGGGAGTATTTGCATTTAATCAGGAATGTGTGCACTTATAACAGTGAAGCATCTTAGGACAGTTTTTATCTTTGGACCTGTAATTGGGGGTAATTTTCCTTGAAGTTCTCCAGCTTCCTTTCAGCCTCCCCAAAACTCTGAGGCCACTTAGAGGTGTATGAGTGTTTTAGGGGAAAGGTAAGTGATTTCAGCAGCGAGGGCCTTTTTGATTCTCTTTGGAACATCTTGGAACTCCCGGAGATGTGAATAAACCACACTCATTGTCCCAGACTTCAGACAGGGCTGCAGTGGGTGGAGGCGCCCTCACTGCCTTGCAGGCCTGGAGCGTGCTCTGGTGCACGGTGCCTGGCCCCCAGCGAGCCTCGTGTCAGCCATCACACCCTTCTCAAGGCCTTTGTCATTCTCTCGTCTTTGTTTCCCTCTCATCTTTATCTCTACCTCCAGTGCCAGAAGCCATGCTGGCTGTGGCTCTTCTCTTCACTGTCGGAGTGAGGCATGGGTTGATCCTGGTCTAGGCACAAAGAAACCATTACATTTCCTCTGTGTGGGAGGTGGTGTCCTAGCGGTTTATTATCATCATTTTGATTCACAATAATCCTGGAAG